ACTTTTCAAAGCTCGACTTATTTCCAGATTGCAACATCATTTTCACAAATAAACTCACTTCCTTTTTTTTTGCTTCCTGTGCTATGGCTATGCTATGCGCCGAGGAACTGAGGGCGTGGACCATATCATTATGATCCCGCTTCTTTTTTCCTCATTGGTTCTTCAGCGCGTTCTTATCGGCTAACGCCTCAATCTGATTGGACGCGGAGCGATAATGAGATGCTTGGGACTAGCCCCAAGAAACTATACGGAGCGCAAGTTCGTCTGCTTTCTGCTCAGGGGCATATATATATATATATATACATATATAATAACTTTACAAAGAGTTTTATACTCTTTATACTCCTTCTAAAGTTACATCATTACCAACGCGCTCACTAACAAGTCTAAAAGAAATTCTGAATCTACGGTAGCGACAACCAAATCTCCAACAAAGCGGGGGAAAAAAAAAAGAAGAGAAAATCGACGCGGGTGCTTCAATTTCGCGAGACATTGAACCCTTACGTCAAACTTTCATGCGGCCGTTATCGGCGTCGGGACTGCCGAACCGCTCTGTATCGCATTCACAGTGAGCCCATGCAGGCCGCGCGGTAGAGGAGCGCGGGCTGGCTTTCTCAAAGGGCCCGGTCGCCAACGGGGCTAACAGGTTAGCGGAACGCGTGAAGAAAGCCACGGAAGAGGGCGGGGAGACGGAGAGAAAGGAGATCTCAGGAGGCGCGGGACCTTGCGCAACAAAGGCGTCCGAAATCGCCGCCACCGAAGAGGTCTTCGACCGGCTACGGGACCGGAAGTTAGTCGCCGGCGCGCGACCATGCTTCCGGTCCGATTCCGCCGGGCTCCGCATCTCTTCCGACCCGGTGACCGTCGGCGACCCTGCTGGCGCCGCTCCAGCAGCTCGTTACTTTTGTGTGTTTAGTATCTTCGGCTTGCCTCGACCGCCTCGACGACCTCCAACAGCGCGCTCCTCCAGACACAATGACTGAAGGCGACGGCCGTCGATGATTGCGGACGTTGCTCTTTGGCTGTTCCACTCTGGGTCGCTTGCACGGACACCGTGTGGTGAACCTCGCCGAACAGAATCATGCGCATGCTGAAGAATGAGTCGGAAGTTTGCTGTGGGTGTATTGTCCTTACCCGTTTTTTTAAACGGAGATGTGTGTTGGCGAAGTATAAACGCAGACGAAGAAAAGACACTGTATACCAGGACCGGAGACTGCTGTGCTCAGTTGCGAGCGCAGCAGTGTCCTCTCTTTGCCTGCCTTTACTGAGCTGTTTATTCCCCATCGTGTTGGAAGTTTGCCAACTGGCCCAGCTTGTTACCTTAGTAAGAAATCTTAGTTCGACGTATAAAATAGCGCTAAAAGAGAAAGGAAAGAGGGACAGGGAGTAAACGGGACAAGCACTAACGTTCAATTATTTTTACTTAGGAAAAAGCAAAGCATTTATACACACGCAATGCGCATCTGCCGTTGCTTTACAAAACTTGTGGCTGTATTCCGCGACTTCAGCAGACAGTTGCTCATTAACTTTTCGAAACTCTTTTTTTAGAAAAGTTGGACGGCATGTGTTTGTGACATGTCAGTTTTATGGAAATAAATTTCAGTTTTTTGCATGATCAAATGCCGACTTGATAGTTGTAGCTGTATGCGTTGTCCCTTTGCGCACGTATACATGCTTCGCTTTTTCCTCAGTAAAAATAATTGAAAGTTAGCGCTCGCTTGTCCTGTTTTCTTCAAGAACCTCTCTTTCTTTTTGTGCTACTTCGTATGTTTAACCAAGATGAACCAACTAGCTCAGCAACGTACCGTACTAAGAAATCCCCTTTTCCATCTGCTAGAGCGCCTGATGTTAGCGGGATATGAGTTGAGTATGCCTTATTAGTTTGTCTACACAAACAGCTTTTGAGCAGTTCGTGTAGCAGCATTCCAAGTAGTCATTTTTATTGGTCGTGGTACCCTACATTCATAACGCCTTATAAGTTATAATGTACAGAGTGTAACTCTAACTTTATGTAACTTTAAACAACACTGTTACTTTAACTTCATGTAACTTCAAAAGTGTAGCGCCAATATTTGACGTTAGCTTGGTCTTCCCTGTGGATTTACGGTGCAGCAAAATTACCTCCAACCCATTCTTTCTTTCTTTTTTTTTTTTTTTTCTTTTTTGTAGCGGCACTACAAGCAGTTTTTTGTTTGTTGTTGTTGTCGTGGTGCTTTATATTTATGACATCTGATGTAATCTAAAAGGCATGGCCGTGAACTTCGACGTTTACGTGGTCTTTTCTGAAAATATTCAGTTAAGAAAACGTTTCTTTTTATATCAATCTAAAAAAATACGGCTGCTTAAAAAAAAAAAAAAAAAAAACTTTGTTAAGTTTGTTAAGAGATTTGTTTAAAATTTTGCGGGGATAAATGGCTGGTGACGCGCGACTGGCCCACCAAACCCAAATAAAGCGTCACAAAGGTGGCTTCCAGCTCGGAACATGCAGGTCATATCGGAATGTGGAACTTGCAGAATACTTTATGGAACTAGGATGTTCGATCGCGTGTTAAAACGAATATATAATGCTCTTGGAAAAAGCGATCAGCCTATAACATTGTGCACGTTAATCAGCTCATTGTATACCCCTCAGTGGTTATGGAAAAAAGTTTTGCCTACGTTATTTTGTAAGTTTTTGCGTCTTGACGTTTATATTTTAGTTCAGAGGTTGATCATTTGTGTGATTTAAAGCTTATCGGTGAGTGTTGCTGTCGTTGTTCTCACTTTCCTGTGATGTGCACTCTGAGTACTTCAATCTGTGTTTTTGCAGACTGAAGCAAGTTGAATCTTTAAGCTCTCGCACGTCCCATTCAGCTCCCTCAGCCATCGCATTTGTAGCGCAGTGAAAATCTTAACGCAGTTTCTTGTCTCAAAATCAGTGCACTTCACAGTCAGCCAGCTGAGGATTTGAAAGGTAAGATAAGCTTAACTTTCGAAATAAAAATAATAAAATGACTTGTAGACACAGCAGCCTTTTGGGTAAATCTGTTTCCGGCAGCTTTCTTCTAAAGTCGGTATATGCTATAGAGGACCAAATTAGCGTTTCTAAATCAGATTGCCTATCAACTAAAAGTTGCTAAGTGGCGAACTAGACAAAACACACATCGGATTGGCATAAGATGACGCCAAGCACAAACAAATTAGAAAGCAAGAAGTTTTTTTTTTTTTTTTTGTGTGTGTGTGTGTGTTTGCAGATATTCAAAGATAACCTATGAAAAGGCCGAGCTCGTCTTAATTCAGAATGTGAAACTATTGTGTGTCCGTTCATGCAATGCGTTGATGCTGAATGGCGGGAACAAAACACCTTGTAACGGACAATGAAATACGCTTTATTATCAAAACCACACATCGTTTAGTTCTCAACTAGCAAGAACATATCTTCAAAGTACTAAAGATGGTTTGCGCATCGCTCCCGTACTCAATCGTGACTAGTTGACAACCCATAATGACCTCAATGAACAAGTTAAAAAAATTCCTACACCACACACGAATGTGATTTTCTTCTTTACAATGCTTACACTCCTTACGATCTCTGAACGAGTCGCATGTACCACCCATGATATATATTTCCACTGTACACGGGAGGATTTACAAGTCGAGAACAAGGCAAGCGAAATAGGATAGCCAGCCCACCAAAGCTCGTGAACAACACTCAATGCGGCAAGAAGTAGGGCGGAAGAACGCTTAGGGTATTTTATGCGCGCTTGATTTTCCCATTAAGCGTTCCGACTTGCACCCAAATTCGGCTTTGTGTATGCAGGTCTTTATAAATAAGGAACAGCCGGCCTCTTTCACCAAACAAAACAAGTGCTATACTCAAGTATCCCTGTACAGTCACGCTTTTCATACATCAACAACCGCACACGTTTAATCCTGCGAGTGATGGTTCACTGCAATAAATGTATCGTTCCGGTTACAACCAAGTCACAAGATCGCATACCCGCGCTCCAGATTACCATCCGCGCTCCAGCTTGCAGCACGACACGGTGAGAACTGCAGGGACGTCTCTTCCCGAAGCACGGGCTCCAGCACGTGCTCGTTGCGTTCCGTCGTGCTTCGGGTAACAGTCGAGACTCACGAAACTCCGAAGCATGATCGAAAGCAAGAAGCTCACCCTGGAGGCAGGGCAAGTGAAGGACCTCCCCGTCGCTCTAATATTGTCAGTGACCATAGCAGCACAAAGCTGTTACCTACCAACTACGAAAAGTCTCTATTAATCGCGAACTCACCATTGCAGAACGATGTTTTTTTTCCTCAAAATTTTATATGTTTAGTCATAGCCTGTTTAGTGAAAGAATGTCCTCGCTTTGTATACATAGCCGGGCGCGATCGTTTTTATGCTAGGCACAACCAAGCAACTGGTGAGAAATTGTACAGTCAAACAGTGCATTCCGATATCCCTTTGAGACTTGGTCAATGTTCGCTCCAAGCGCCGTCCACTAAACTACACTATCTAGGGAATTATCTTTGTTTGTTTGAAGCGGTTTCGGTTTTGGAGCGCTTTTTGTGCTGGTATGTATACTTTCTTGAGCGTGCACACGCGCGCTCACATCTACAGCACTAAAGGCGCAAGCATGAAGCGCTTTTGGATCGCTCAAAATCTGCCGAGAGAATTCCACATAAAGCGGCTTTGTGGATTAACGAAGCTACATTATTGAGACCTTACTGCCTCGTTTCACTTACCAAGCGAGGAAGTAAGTGAAGCGAGGCAACGGTTGGGCAAGGCAGACCTGGAAGCACGTTCCTCATTCGCTTCGCCTATGCCACTTCAGCCACGTGCGACGGATGATCCTTCACGCGGGCAAGAGCGCGGGCAGACGCGCGCATCGTAGTACGTCCGACCTTGACACTGCGCTGTCAGAGGCGTCCAACCTGCCTCGTAACTTGGACGGGTCCGTCGGACGAGGCGCAACCGAGGGCACGCCCCAAAACGTGCGAGGAATCTGACCGGTTTGGGGCAGTCACTCCTCCTTGAGTATACAGACGTCGTGTTGGATGGCCTCGCTGAAGGACTTCCGCTTGTAGGCAAACACGTAGAAGTTGATGAACATCGCCAGTCCGAGCAGTCCTTGGGGAAGGGCCAGGTAGATGAAGAACCTAGGGTATCCGCAGTCGTGGAAGAATGGTATTAGTCCGTGCACAATGATCACACAGTGCTGGATAATCTGCGCCCGGGTCAGATACTTCTTCCACCAGAGGTACTTCTTGTACTTCGGCCCGCAGGCCGCTAAGAAGTAGTAGAAGTACATGACGGTGTGGATGTAGATGTTGATGATGAGACCGAACATAGACTGCCCATCGCCACCGAGTGTGAACCAGAGCCAGCCGTTGGCCACAACCAACGCGTGGTGGGAGGTATGTTGCACCGTGATCTGTTGGTCTTTCTTTCGGAGCACGAAGAAGATGGTGTCCATGAAGTCGATGACACGCACGTAGAAGTAAAAGTAGCCCCACCACAGTATGTTGAGGCTGTTCGCATCTCTCGAGTAGGTCATCCCTTGGCAGAAGATGTTGTAGCCGCCGCCCAGGAACGTGTTGGTCAGAAAGATGTGTCCAAAGAATAGGTTGAGCGCAATCATCAGTAGGTTGTACACCTGTATCGTATTTTTGAGCACGTACGGCTTGCGGTTGGCCATGAACCGCGGTCCGGCGCGGTACACGATGTAGAGGTATCCACTGACGAGGAGGACGATGAACGCAGGGTTCCCCACTAGGAACCAGTCCCTGGTCCGGGGATCGGACTTCGAGTAGAGGGGTCGGTTGAAGTCGCCGAAGGCATCTAGCCTCTCGACGGCCGCCATGACAACACAGTGTGACGCGGCTCTCTAGTTCCTCGCCGGAGCCCGGTCAAACTTGGAAAGGAACCTTTCGCTTTCGGATGCTTGCCTTTAAATAAACACCAAGGCGGGAGGGAAGGCCCTTTTCGCCACTTCTTGGAGAAGGACGCTTTCTCGAGGAAAAAGAGGGGGAGGAGGGTCGGCAATACTCATTGGGCGAGGATCGGAGATCTGGGTCAACGGGAGAAAGCGGCTTTTTATAAGCGAGCTACTTCTGCGCGATGCCGAGGAAGGGCAGTGCTTTGCGACGAGGAGGACTGGCAGAGGCGGTCGCCCGTTGTTCTGTGAGCGCGGTGCTGTTGTTGAGAAGCGGAGGGGAGGACGTAGGACACTGGCGGCAAAAAACTAAAGGTGCGCGCACGCTCGCGCACTCTTTCCAGTTCCGTTTGTTGAGAGGAGCTGCGTGTCACGAGCGTTGCCTCGATGCCAATTAAGGGGCGGTTCGTCGACCTCATTAGGCTTAGGCTATCTCGAGCGAAAATGCTGTAAGGTCACAACTTCGTGCGAACCTACGATTTTATTTTTGTAAACTTAATGCGTGACTCGTAACTGTAGTAGCTGAGTCGATTACGAAGGTGGGCTGAGGCAGCTCGTTCTTGGTATAAATGTTTCTGCGAAACAATGTTACTTCCTCATTTGTGTGGCAGCCCTGATCCTTCAATCAATCAGCCTTGAGCCTGTGTAAATAAAGACTCCGTTCGCTTCTTTGCTTTAGGGGAAGTCCCTTTCTACCTTCTTTAACAGAATACTTCAAAATGAGATACTGATTCAAGCTGTAAGGTATGTACTTTTTGGGCAGGACTCTGTTGTATCAGCAAGGAGGATGCTCTTAACAGGTTTGAATCCCGTTTTCACATCTCGTGTACTAATGGCGCCATATGTAAGAAGGACAAACCTTGACTTTGACTTCGTTTGCGGTGTTTTTTGATGCATGGCGGGCACGTCCAGCATAGCACAGCTATGCGTGGCGTAGAAGTTGACTCGTTTATAAAAATTGTTACCTGAAAATATCAAGTGCATAATTTTTATCAGAAGTGATTAGATAATGAGTCTGTAAAAATAGCGGGTACGCCATAAGTACAGTGACACTGCCGTTTGACCACTGAAGATGTATGTACTGCTAAAAGCGTTTCCTTCCACGGTATTTTCTCAGGAAAAAAGGAAGATACCTACAGTGGGATTAATCGGATCATGAATTTGCTGCACAAGATTTTGTTTACATTTTTGGAAGTTAAGGAACGTAAAGTACTTGACATAATGTCGAGGCACTGCGAGCTTTCACGTGAAATGCTGCGCTAGGCACAGCGCACGTTTTATTTATTATTTAAACTCAACAATACACTCGAAGCGCATTTCAACAATGTCGGGTCAAAGACACATCTTTAGGCGCGTTCATCCGCAGCTATATATTTTTCTCTTCACTAGCGCCACTTCGACTGAGACCCATTTTTTTTTTTCACTCATTTTTTATAACAACACAACAAAAATTAAGTTTGCGCACCTCTTCGACAAACGACTTCTTCAGTGTGGGTCATAGTAATTCCTTGGGGCTTTCTCTCATTCAAGCTAGGATCAATTGTTCCTTGCCCAATCCGAATATATTTGATTGGTCGACTAATGATGTCAGTTGTTGAACTTGTTGTCAGTACATAATCCCAATAGAAATTAACAGTAAAAACAACAGCAACGACAACACGGATAACTGTATAATTACTCAACTGCCTGAGCTGTACAATATACTGCTATCAACTAAGAGTTTTCTGTTTTCTTTGGAACCGCATTCCCCAACACAATAATAAGGTGAAAAAAAATTTTTTTTTAAGAAACGGCAAACAGAAGTAACATTATGTACAAGGACACCCAGGAACGTTGTTGTTTGCCATGTTCTCACCACTCCTTTGCATGCAAAATACTTAAACGTGCCATGAGGAGGTTCCTGAGTACGCCTAAATATGGCGATAACTCACTCTGCGGGCTCTAAGCATCCTAGAAAGCTATAAATCCTAACGGTGCGCGGCAGATTTCCTTATTACAAAAGCAACCGAAGATCGAACACACCGAGGTGGGAGGAACATTGTTCCGGCAGCGAGGACGACATATGACCAATAAACGATACATTTCGTTGAGATTGCAAACGCTGTCTTTACCAAATGGGCATGCTTTTGTAGATGATATAGCAAATAATAGTAGTCAAACATTTCATTGTTCGCGGAGGGGGAACATAATATTGCAATAATCGTCTAAAAAACGACGCATTTCATTTTTTTTTTTCGCGAGAGGGATGTGTATGGTCGTCAGCTCTCGAGCGCGCGCTCGCTGTATTGAATTGTAGTCCGGGCTGTATGGGCAACAAGCCGCGCGCATTCGAGATATCACCCCGCGGTTCCACCGGTCGGAGGCGGAAAGATCCTTCGCCAGTGGTCCTGATTTCGGAACATGCTCCTCCTATCACGGAAGATGACCTCGGTGTGGTGCGATCTTTGATTGCTTTTATAGTAGGGAAATCGGTCGTGTATCGTCATGATTTAGGGATTTCTAGGATGATTGAAGCCAGCAGAGTGAGTTATCGCCATATTTAGGCGATCTCAGAGACCTCCTCGAGGTACCTTTAATCGCTTTGTGTTTGTTAATAGGTGCCGAGCAATGATCATGCACGGTTACTGTCCAGACAGCGACAACGCTTTTTGCACGTATCTACCAGCACACAAACTTAGAAGCTATTTCGTAAACTTTCATTCAAATAAAAAAAGTCCATAACTATACAATGCACGCTGCTGTCAGAAACATCGACTTATCCGGAGTTGGAGCCTTCTGAACCCTGCAGCTCTTGTTCAGAAGACACCCATTTGCGTCCATCTCTGCTCCGAACAGTTGATTCTAATTGCAGAACTTCCTGAGCATGACGACGCTTGGGAAAGACTACAAACACTCGCGCTCCTTGCTGTGTGGCAAAGGCACCACACTGGCGCAGTTAGTCCCTCTTGAGCATGCACACGTTATCTGTGAGTGCCTCGGCGAAGGTCTTCTTCTTGTACTCGAAGAAGTAGAAATTGATGAAGAGCGCCAGGCCTAACATTCCCTGTGGCATGGCCATCAGGAGCAGATACCTCGGGTAGCCGCAGTCGTAGAACAGCGTTATGAACCCGTGCCCGATGATGAGCACGTGTTGCACGATCTGCGCCGTGGTCAGATGCTTTTTCCACCAGATGTACTTCTTGTACTCGGGGCCGCAGGCCGCGAGAAAGTAATACGTGTACATGATCACGTGAATCGAGCAATTCATGGTGACGCCGAACAGCGTCTGCCCGTCACAACCGAGGGTCAGGAAGAGCCATCCGTTGATGACGACCAGAGCGTGATGCCAGACGTGCTGGCGCGTGATGTGGTCGTACTTCTTGCGGAGCACGAAGAACACGGTGTCCAGGAAGTCGGCAATTCGCACGAATAGGTAGAAGTAGCCGTAGTACATAATGTTGAGCGAGTGCTTGTCCGTCGAGTACGACATGCCCTGGCAGAGCGGATGGTAGCCGCCGTACAGGTAAGAGTTGGCGAAGAACTGGTACGCGAAGAAGGCGTTGGACACTACCATAAACACGTTGTAGACGTTGATGAGGGCCTTGATGGGCAGGGGTTTGCGCGACGCCATCAGCTGCGGTCCGAACACGTAGATGAAGAGAAAGTAGCTGGACACTATGCCCGTGATGAACACTGGGTCCCCAACGGGGTACCAGTCCCGCGTCCGCGGGTCGGCCCTGGAGTAGAGCCACAGCCGGAGCTGCTCCAAGAAGTCGATGCGCAACGAAACAGCCATGCTGGGAGAAAGTGCGGCGCGGCTGGGGCTGCCGCTCTTATACGACGACGTGGGGATCGGGGTCAGGATTACGTAAATGGGGCGCCCGATGACGGGGCTGGGTCAGCGACGTACTTTCCCACTCGTCGTCTCTGATCGCGGGCGGGACATGCACGCTTGCCCTCACCCGGTGCGCCTTTGTAAGTCTCTTGGGTTCCGGTCGTTTGCACACTTTTCTGTGGCTGCGCGCGACTGCACTCGGCGTTGGGTGCCCCCGCCGTGAAAGTGCCGTTTCTCTCAAAGGAGCAGTTCGGCCCCCTTTGAAGGTTATCGCCCTCAAACTTGCACGCATTACGCGGAATCTTAGAATAAGTAATAATCACTTTCTGGAGTAATTTATTTATGGCTTTATTACCCTACCGTCAATGAAGTGATTAGATTAGTTCACAGAATAATTTAATTTCAATTGCTGGGCGAATACAGGTGTTGTCTTCGGCAGCAAAAGCGCACGAACTAACGAAATTAAATGGCGGAACCAGAACTAAAACCAAGAAAAACGAAAAAAAAAAGTAATGCAGCCTTAAAACCGCAAATAATAATGGTCCAGAAGATCCTCCCGCTCCCTCATTAGCGCCACCTAGTGTTCAACCGCAACGCGGAAATAGTTCGCAACCGAGGCGCATGTCGCGCTGACGTCTGTAATGATCGCTGCGTACTGTTCACCCGCAAGGGAAAAAAAACAGGCAAAACACACACAGGAAAACAAAACGCACTTCTATTCCAACAGGTCGTCAATCAAGTGCTAGTCCCCGCCCTCGCTGTCTCCACCTGTACTCCCCTGACCGCGCCAACGTCGTTCTCTTCAACAAGCCCACAGGTGACATCCGCGGAGCGATTCCATCATGCCGCGGCTGGTACGTGGTGGTGTATATTTTGCGTACTCTTAATGTACATCCGAATATCTCGACGCATATGTTCGTGTCGTTATAGGAGACAACGCATCTAGCAGACAGCAGAGTGCGTCGTCTACTCTCTGCGCCTCCGGGTTAGGTCACCACAAGCTACATTAATCGCTTAATCGGCCGTCTGCGAACGAGTCCACCGTTGATTTTGGCAAGTTTGCTGGGTTCACTTTTTACGGGAAGAGAACGCTGCGCCTTGAACTTTTACAAAGTGAAAGTCATCCCCTAAATGAGCATTCGATGTACGTTTGAACTTTCTATGTGCCGGCGCCAATTCTTTTTTTTTTTTTACAGCGTAAGAAACACTATGGCCACCTATATATTGAACTAATTTTATCATGTGGTAACCACCACATGATAAAAACACCAGTTCAGTTCCCCCGCTAAATTTACCACTATGCTTGTACCGCCTTTTTTTCTGGTAGGATGTCCCATGATGCGATATGCATGTATGAGGCTTTTCCATCATCGCTCCATCATCAAGATTTTCAAACAGGCTTACTGAGACTAAAAAGTAGTTTTGTTGTGTACACATTTATACAATCGTAAGTTGGTCAGTCCCAATGGGCATCTGGTATCTCAGCTGTAGATGATAAATTTATCCAGTCCAGAAAAACCGCTAGCCTGAGGTCTCCAACGTTCACCACGCAGTGGTGATCATAGGAAGGCATTTTAAGCTGTCCTAACAAAAACTCATGATTACCTCTTTCTCCTCAATGAGAGCTCACGCCCGCTCACGATCACGATTTATTAGAAACAGGATCATCACCCGGATTCTCCCTCGAGGTACAAAACAAAACCAAAACTCACTCGCCGTCATCATCACGGTCATCACGCTCACAGGTCACCACGAATTATCAGACTCACAGGGCATCAGACTCACAGGTCGTCATATTCCCCATCACACTCACACGTCCCCCATCACACACACAGGTCACCACGAATTATCAGACTCACAGGTCACCAGACTCACAGGTCGTCATGCTGATCACACTCACATGTCATAAATATATTTTAAAGCAAAACTTTCCGTAAAAACAATAAAAATGTTATTTACAGTTTGTCGCCAATTTTTGTTGCTGTTTTTAGAGCGCAGCTCTTGAGGAGGAGGAGGCAAGAGTACTGAGGGGAAGCTATGTCCCTCCTCCCTCCTTCTCACGTCCTCATCCTGTCTGCTACTCCTCCTTCCGAACGGCGTCGCTCGGAGGGAGGAGCATGCCCCATTTGGTAATGACAGCGTTTGCAATCTCAACGAGAGGTCTCGTTTCCATTGGTCATATGTCGTCCTGGCTGCCGGAACAATGTTCCTCCCATCACCGGAGATGAGCTCGGTGTGTTCGATCTTTGGTTGCTTTTGTAATACGGAAATCGGCCGCGCATCGTTATGATTTATAGATTTCTAGGATGCTTAGAGCCTGTAGAGTGAGTTATCGCCATATTTAGGCTATCTCAGATACCTCCTCGGGGTACCTTTAATCGCTCCATGTTTGCAAATGGCTGCCGAGCAATGATCATGCCCGGCTACTGTCCAGACAGTGACAACGCTTTCCGCACGTATTTATCAGCGCACAGATGAAGAGTAGTTAAGAAATAAACTCTTTCGTAAAATTTCATTTAAAAAAAAGGCCTATAACTGTACGATGTACGCGGCTGTCCGAAACATCGACTTATCGGGAGTTGGAGCGTTCTGAACCCTGCAGCTCTTGTTCAGGGGACACGGCCATTTGCGTCCATCTCTGCTCCGAGCAGTTGATTCTAATAGCAGAACTTCCGGAGCATGACGACGCTTGGGAAAGACTACAAACACTCGCGCCCCTTGCAGTGTGGCTAAGTCACCGCACCGGCGCAGTTAGTCCCTCTTGAGCCTGCTCGCGTTATCTGTGAGTGCCTCGGCGAGGGTCTTCTTCTTGTACTCGAAGAAGTAGAAATTGATGAAGAGCGCCAGGCCTAACATGCCTTGTGGCATGGCCACCAGAAACAGATACCTCGGGTAGCCGCAGTCGTAGAACAGTGTTATGAACCCGTGCCCGATGATGAGCACGTGTTGCACGATCTGTGCCGTGGTCAGATACTTTTTCCACCAGATGTACTTCTTGTACTCGGGGCCGCAGGCCGCCAAGAAGTAATACGTATACATGATCATGTGGATCAAGCAATTTATGGTGACGCCGAACAGCGTCTGCCCGTCGCAACCGAGGGTCAGGAAGAGCCATCCGTTGACGACGACCAGAGTGTGATGCCAGACGTGCTGGCGCGTGATGTGGTCATACTTCTTGCGGAGCACAAAGAAGACGGTGTCCAGGAAGTCGGCAATCCGCACGAATAGGTAGAAGTAGCCGAAGTACATAATGTTGAGCGAGTGCTTGTCCGTCGAGTACGACATGCCCTGGCAGAGCGGATGGTAGCCGCCGTACAGGTAAGAGTTGGCGAAGAACTGGTACGCGAAGAAGGCGTTGGACACTACCATAAACACGTTGTAGGCGTTGATGAGGGTCTTGATGGGCAAAGGCTTGCGCGACGCCATCAGCTGCGGTCCGAATACGTAGATGAAGAGAAGGTAGCTGGACACTATGCCCGTGATGAACACTGGGTCCCCAACGGGGTACCAGTCCCGCGTGCGCGGGTCGGCCCTGGAGTAGAGCCACAGCCGGAGCTGCTCCAAGAAGTCGATGCGCAACGAAACAGCCATGCTGGGAGAAAGTGCGTTGCGGTCGGGGCTGCCGCTCTTATACGAGAACGGGAGTCGGAGTCAGGATTAGGTAAATGGGGCGCCCGATGGCGGGGCTGGGTCAGCGACGTACTTTCCCACTCGTTGTCTCTGATCGCGGGCGGGACATGCACGCTCGCCCTCACCCGGTGCGCCTTTGTCAGTCTCTTGGGTTCCGGTCGTTTGCACACTTTTCTGTTGCTGTGCGCGTGTGCACTCGACGTTGATGGATGCCCCCGCCGTGAAACCGCCATTTGTTTCAAATTAAGAGCAGCTCGGCCCCCTTTGAAGGTTATCGCCCTCAAACTTGCACACATCACGCGGAATCTTAGGATAAGTAATAATCACTTTTTAGAGTAATTTCTTCGTGGCTGTATAATACTCCACCGTCTATGAAGTGATTTGATTATTTGAAAGAATAATTTAATTTTAATTACTGGACGAATGCAGGTGTTGTCTTCGGCAGCAAAAGCGCACAAACTAACGAAATTAAATGACGGTACCAAAAACAAAACCCGGAAAAACGAAAAAATGTAAATACAGCCCCAAAAGCACAATTAATAATGCGCCAGAAGCTCCTCCCACGCCCTCATTAGCGCCAGCTAGTGTTCCTCCGCAATGCGCAAATAGTCCGTTACCGAGGCGTGCGTCGCGCTGACGTCTGTGGTGATCGGTGCGTACTGCTCACCCGCACAAAAAAAAAGAAAGAAAAAAAAAAACAGGTTGGACACATACAGAAAACAAAAACAACAAGAAACGCACCTCTATTCGAACAGGTCGTCAATCAAGTGCTAGTCCCCGCCCTCGCTGTCCCCATCTTCTACTCCCCTGGCCGCGCTAACGTCGTTCTCTTCAACAAGCCCAAAGATGACATCCGCGGAGCAATTCCATGCCGCGGCTGGTACGTGGTGGTGTCTATTTTGCGTATTCTTAATGGACATCTGACTATCTCGACGCGTATATTCGTATCGTTATAGCAGACAGCGCATCTAGCAGAAAACGGAGTGCGTCGTCTACTCTCTGCATGCGCCTCCGGGGGATGTCGCCACAAGCTACATTAATGGCTAACTCGGCCGTCGGCGAACCAGTCCACCGTTGATTTCGGCAAGTTTACTGGGTTTACTTTTTACAGGAAGAGAACACTACGACTTGAAATTTTACACAGTGAACGCCATCACCTAAATGCACATTCGATGAACGTTTGAGCTTCCTATGTGCAGGCGCCAATTTTTTTTTCGATTTATATTACAGCGTAAGAAACACTGTAGCATGCCTATATATTGGACTAATTCTGTCATGTCGTAACCGGCACTGCATACGCTGTGTGAACATTTCCATATTTCGTCATTTTTTTATATACATATTCATATTCATATTCTTTATTGTAGCTCTTAATAAGAGCCGAGCAGTCACGGAAATCCAATGGCCCATACAAGAAGGTTTATGACAACTTGTTCTATTTATGCAAGAAGAAGTAATGTCATGAATCCGTCCGATCGACAAATAAAGAAAGTTAACATTTTCTCCCATCCCGTCAACGTCAGAATTAAATATGGCGACAGTAAAGCAAAAACGGTCATCATGAAAGCAGAACGAGAGCTGCACCTGAACGCATTTATACTTTTCGAAATGCGTACAACGCGCCTGCACGCGCGGAGGAGACACATGTAGGCTTGGTTGTAATACAATATATATACTGTTCTAGAATGATAACAACCACCTTGCAGAAACATTGAGCTCAAGACGAGCTTTCTCCCGGGTCTGTCAAAAAACTGGGTGAGCTTTCCTGCGGACCCACAGAACAATGTGGGTGAGCATTTCTCCGGTGAGCTTTTTTCTGGTGAGATTTTTTTTCCTGGGTTCGTTATATATGACGAGGAGCGTGCGCGTGAATCTTGATATGCTACCACGCCGCAATAGGACGCAATACGCAAATAGACGACGTCATTTTTAACCTAACTTTTATTCGCGTGACGTGGTTACAGTGCTTACACTTGGTGGCCTAAGCTAAGTTCCTGAACGGGGTGCAGAGCCACTCAGATAAAGAATGAGCTGTGATCAGTTCACCTCAGTTGTGTAACTAGGGTGTGTGTGTGTGTGTGGGGGGGGGGGGGGGGGGGGACGCCCGGGTGCAACGCTGTTCAGGGAATGCAGCTGGGTGTGTGTGTGCGTAAGGGGGGGGGGGGGGGGCGGGGTCACCGCACCGGGTGCCGCACAACACTTCTTCAACGTTTTTAAATTTCCGCAAGAGGAAAAGACAATTATGAGCCTAGTGCTTGAAGAGACACATAAGTGGATAGAACAGCTTCGCCAGCGAGCGTTCGTTTTACTAGCTGGATCTCTTTCCGGTGCTTAATGTAATATGTTCTGATGTTCGGTGCAGTATGCTTGCCACAATCAGCCTTAGTCAAACTGGGATGAAATAAGCCGTGTTCAAGAAATGCATAAGATTACCGTGTTACCTCAAATGAGACTCAACGACAGATAGACAACAAACACACACAAAAAAAAGGTCCAACCTTGTCGAAATGGCCGCACACTACTTCTGATCTGGACGTAATTGTGTAAACTCCGGACATCTCACTTCGGCCCGACATATTTGGAAGCTATACATAGCCTAAACGAAGCTTCTCTTGACTCAATTAAAGTCACTGGATCATGGGAAAGCTCCTTGTATGGTTGCCATTTTGGTTCATAAAATAAGCAATATCTCGTTGACCTCTCCATTCTTGGTACGCCAATTTAAATTCGCTGATGACTGGTAACTTTATGGAAACGTTTCTTGTATGCTCAGATTTTGCTGTCTACACACATTGTCATCGGCTATCCACACACCATAGTCATAAAAACACACACACACACATTGTCATCAGGAAGAACAACAAACTCTAATCTACGGAAACACATCAAGGTAAGCTGGGACACCTGTATTCTGCGTTGGCTATACATTGTAACGTTAGAACCATTTTTGTTTCTTGTAAAGGCCCGTTCACACTCTTGCAACTGCTTGCGACCTCTTAAACCTGGGTTCCTTAAAACTTCTTAAACCAGAGAACACACTGGCGCCATCTATTGGGAAGCAGTGTAAACTCGGCGGTCCGGCATATTTTTTTTTATTTCTCGCGCAATATCCTTTCTTTTTTGGCTCGAAAAACTTTTGTCAATGTTATAAACGAGCCTTTCTATGGGTATTACGCACATTTGACTTCAGAAATCCCGCAAAACCTTCGCTTTTGTGAAATGCAGTTCTAGGGTCACCGCATAGATGGCGCCACAATGTCAGTGTGTCCCCTCATTTTAGAAACATTTAAGAAGAGAGATCTCGTCTCTCTCAGTCGTACTCGGTCGCAAGAGTGTGAACGGGCCTTTACAGGCGAAACAGCCTAGTCAAAAGGGAGCTTTTGTAGATTGCTGAATCTCGTAGCGGAGGTAGACGCTACTACTGAGCATGCGCACCGCTAGCTTTGTCTCCACAATTCCAGGGATCATTTCCGGAGGCCGTAAGCTAGCAGGATGGCGGGTGTGGTTGCAGCTTTCGGTGCCTTGCCTTGTTTACAAGGACTACCATAATACGGGTGTATGAGAAATGAAAAGTACTGTTGCAGAACATTATTGAAAAATATCAAAATTGTTTATATTCTTTTCTGGATAAGTGTACGGGAAAAGTAACGATAAAGTAATTTGTAATATAACGAGTAAAGTAATCCGTTACTTTTCAGCGAAAGTAATTTTTAACGGTAATGCATTACATTTGAGGCTCGGTAATTTGTAATTGTAATCCATTACATTTTTTAAGTAACAAGCAGAAGTCAGGGACGACCCCAAACCACTCCAAATCAAACGAAGCAAAGCTATGCCAAACCAATCCAAACAAAAGGTTGCATGTATCGAGACAATAAATGCTGACGACATTTTATAAAGGCAGAAATGAATGAAAAACAATGCCAACTGATGTTTCTTTACATCGCGCCTACTCCGGTAAGCACGGTCGAGCAACAAAACGAGGAGCAACTCGAGTGAGGAGGAAAACTCGGCCTCCGCGGCCTCTGCTCATAGAGAAGTATGCAACTGACAGACACCACTGCCAACAGGGATTATAGTATGATAAACCGGAGGTACGTCACGTGAAACTGCCCTACCTAATTTACCACCCCCCCCCCTCTCTCAAACCAAAATATTTGGGCGATGACCATGTTTACTATCCTCCATAAACATCCGTAGAAGTACGTGTGGGTCGCACAAGAATAGAAAGAAGGATGATATATGTAGTAATCGTTTATTTGTGTAGAAATATGCGAGCTATGCACAGCGAGTCGAGGCTCTATTCACTCCTACGTTGTGTGTGTAACTTGTCGGAAGGAGCGTTTGTGTTTTACCGCCACCCTTGTCAGCAGGCGAAAGTTCAACACACCCACTTTCGTCAGCTTACATTTACAGTTTCTTTCGTAACTAATCCAGGTTAAAGAAATTTGGTAGAAATGTACGGAGGATAAAAATAAACATATTACATTTCTTTTAAATTGGATAAGCTGTTCAGAAGTTCTCTGTCTTAAGGTAGTTTCCCCACCGCACGACTCACGCGAAGACAAACCAACGGTATGCGAGAAACAAAAGAAACAAAACGAAAGACGTTTACAAATCTCTTTAATGCGAAATTCGAGTGCAGCTCTTGAGGAGGAGGGGTACGGAGGGAAGGGAGTGCTCCTCCTCCTCCTCTTCTTCTCCCCCTCTCCTCTCCTCCTCCTTCTTTTTCCTCGTCCTCTTGCGTACCCTCCCCTCCCCCTCTTCCATACCCTCCCCTCCTCCCACAGTTTCCCCGCTAAGTTTAGCTGAAAAATTGACGCCACGTGACCTCAACACCAATTCAATTTTCCCGGTAAATTTAGCGGGGAAAATAACGTCACAGGCTTCCTGTCATGTCACTTATAAAAAATTCAGTTTCTCCGCTAGATTAAGCGGAAAAATTGGCGTCACATGGCCCC